GTGATTATTTACTCGACAGTCATCAGCGCTTGGGCAATACTAAAAATAAAGCACTTTGCGCATTTGAATACCAATATACTGTGGTATGTACATTTTTTTTGCATGAGCCATATGACGATTTTTGGTGCTCATGTCATACCCCCTTCGATTTTTTTGCTTATACATATACTCAAAGGCGTGCAAGTGACTACTACCAATTACAGCTACAGATGAAAACTACAGCTGGACACGGTTTTTTTTTAACACAAGTAAAATCACTACATGTGTGTGAGTATTATAAACGGCGTTTGTTTTTTGAAAGCCTCCAAGCATTTTTGTAGCAGGAGAAATTTTTCTGTAAAAAAAGATTTTTTTCATGATACACCCTCTATTTTATATTTTTCTTGACTTTTTGCTAAACGCGGTACCACAGACAAAAGGAGTGAGTATTTTTCTTTGTTGTGTGCTAGTAGTGACGTTTTTTCTTAGAGATTTTTGTAGACTTTTTGTGCTTCTTTTTGAGTTTTTGAAACAAGCAAGCCCCCCCCCCCCCCCCCAAAACAAAATAGGTTTAAAAAACAAAAACTAGAACTCCCTAATAATTTTTTTTTTGGCAAAAACTCTACTGGAAGAGGTAACTATATTTTTTTTTTTCGTGTGTTGGTATTCAAATGTAATAAAGGATGTTAAACAACGAAAAAATTAAAAGTTTTACATGAAAAACGTGTGATGTGCCAGCATGTACAACCAAAAACATTTTCAAATAAACCAAACAAATATTGATCCGAGTATTGATTGAAGTAAACGCTTTCGCAGTGCCCGGCGATCCTCAGGATGTCAAAGTAACACCCATTAATTCGACCACCATAAAAGTCAATTGGAATCCGCCACAAATCAGAGACCGTAACGGTATTATTTTGGGGTATCACGTACACGTACAGGAAGTTAAAGAAGAGGTAATTGGTTTATAAGTAACTCTAGTACGTATTTCCATTCTAGGCCAGGAAGTTCTGTTTTATTTTTTTTCTGGTATAGGACAAGGGCTGCTTATTATGGGTCTAAATTTTTCCAACAAAATTTTCACCCTTGATCGTTTTTTGTGGTTTTTCCAGAACGTAGCACACAAAAAAATACCTTCATAGCAAATAAAAGAGGGCTTAATTCTCTACAATTTATCCAGCGACAGCATATGTCTATTACCTACCCTTTAGTCGGGGTTGCGCTCTAAAGTTGAATGACCTTGAAAAGAAGATATTTTGGAAATTAATTTTTTTTTACTGAACAATAAAGCAAATCCACCACAAACCATACAGCAAATAATTAATATAATAAATAATAATAAATAAATAAATAATAATAAATAAATAATTTGCCGATTTTTTGATATATGTTTTATTTAAAAACAGTTACCCGTTCAAGATATACAGGGTGTTGAAATTTAAACAACCCCCTTTCATATCATCTGAAGGGCTGATGCTAGGCTGTTTCAAATTTCCAGGGATTATTGGTGGACCACTTACGTAGTAGAGGTGGGTATTGGTCTGATAGCCGGGGGCACTTGAGCCTGGGAAGTTTTTCGATACCGTGGGAAAATCTCTAGATCGGCGGCGCTTTTAATCTGAAATTTTGAGGATTTGACCCGGACCAACCCCAAAATTGACGAATTCTAATACAAATGGAAGAATTGGTTAAATATTCTTCAGTTTTCAAGAAAGTGAAAGGATATAATAAAGTGCCATCTCAGGGTAAGAGCCTTTTGAAAATAGATTAATGGAGGACTTTACGGAAGAGGGTTTACAGTGCAGGTGGGTAAAAAGTGCCTCCTCAGGGTAGGAGCTTCACGGAAGGGGGTATAGTGGAGGTGGGTAAAGTTCGCCTTACGAGTCTAGCACTACGACGTCTGAAGAGCAAGGGGACATAACGTCATTCATTTCGAGCTTTATGTTGCCTGTCATAGATGAACGTGCAACGTTTTTGAATAGTACTTTTTCCTTATAAATGTAGGTGTATAATATAAATAAATATTAAGGTATTTCTTATTGGAAGTCAAATAGGCAATATTGCAATTTTTTCATCCGCATTCTTTCCATAGTGCTAGACTCGTAAGGCGAACTTTAGTGGTATGATGACTGTGCTGAAGGGGAGTTTTTAGGTAGTAGAGGTGGGTATTGGTCTGATAGCCGGGGGCACTTGAGCCTGGGAAGTTTTTCGATACCGTAGGAAAATCTCTAGGTCGGCGGCGCTTTTGATCTGAAATTTTGGGGATTTGACCCGGGCCAACCCCAAAATTGACGAATTCGAATACAAATGGAAGAATTGGTTAAATATTCTTTGGTTTTCAAGAAAGTGAAGATATATAATAAAGTGCCGTCTCAGGGTAAGAGCCTTTTGAAAATAGAATAATGGAGGACTTTACGGAAGAGGGTTTACAGTGCAGGTGGGTAAAAAGTGGTGGGGTCAAAATCAATTGAATAAATTTTTTATGCGTAAAAAGGGACTTCAGTCTAAATTATCATTCTAGAAGGAGAATCAGAATTTTAAATGCAACATTTGCAAAGCAAAATTTAAAAAAAAAAAAGGCAGTTTGAAGAGACAAAAACTAACACTTGGACGAGAAGAATTTTAAATGCAACATATGCAATGCAAAATTTAAAGAAAAATTTAAATTAGGAAAATTTAAACAAAAAGGTAATTTGAAAAGTCACATATCAACAGACTTCGATAGTTATCTTTTTGAATGTGACATTTGCAAAGCAAAATTCAAAGGAAAAGACTGTTTAAAGAGACACAAACTAACACAGTCTGATATTTATTCTTTTAAATGTGACACATGCAATGCAAAATTTGAACACAAACGTAGTTTGAGAAGCCACATATTAACACACTCGGATGAGAAGAATTTCCAATGTAACATTTTCAATGCAAAATTGAAAAGAGAAGGCGATTTGAAGGAACACATATTGATACACTTGGATATTTAATTTTTTTGAATGGGACATTTGCAAATCAAAATTTAAACGGAAACGCGACTTGAAGATACACAAACTAACACATTCGGGTATTTATCCATTCGAATGTGACACTTGCAAGGCAAAATTTGAAGAAAAGTAATTCATGACATTTCAAGACACTCGGATATTTATCCTTTTGAATGTGACACTTGCAAATCAAAATTTAAATGGAAAGCTGATTTAAAGATTCACGAACTAACACATTCGGATTCGGACATTCAGTTATTTAAGAAATTTCCAGGGGGGGTCGAGTGACCAGCCTGAGTAGCTATAGGTAAATAAACAGGGCCTTGAACAAATTTTCTAAGTACAGTCAATCGTATATTATCTTGGCCAATCAAAAGCAAAGGTGGATTATTTATGTCTTGAATAGGTAAACCTGCTAAATGTGAAAAATGTTGCCAATGACTTTTCAAAACGTGTTGATTTGGAAGAGCAAGATTTTTAACCTTTCTTAATTTAAACTGTTTGGTAATTAGCTAATACAGGAATATCAAAACATACGGAATCTTCAGTGGTTCTTACAACTTCGTTAGTCTACTGCACGCAGAAAGGTTCTCGTTTCCCCTGTATTCGTAGACTTTCAAGAAGTGACTCATTAATCAGAGTAACTGTCGATGCCTCGTCACAAAGAGTACCATTCAGACCATAAAGAATAACATTTACCATTCTAAGTAAAACGTTACCTTTTTCTTTATCTTGTCTAGTAGTCAGTAGCTTTTGGCTCTGGTCAAAATTCGTATTATTTCCGTGAGGTTCCAGGTAGAAAATAGGGGTTTATTATACGAATTTTTCAATGTAATTCTTACATCAATAATCCCTGAAAATTTGAACAGCCTGATGTAATGATCCAGAAATTAGACCCGTAAATCACAATGTCTTTACTGTAAAAATTAAATATTATCAAATAATCAAAAACTGAATTTCCGGTATTTCCAAATCAGTATCGATAAATTAAAAATGGAACAAATTACCGTGACCCCAAATACATTCGAACTTATATTATTTCGTCAGCCGCGTGATGTCATCTCCTCTAAATCATAATATCAATGAATTTTTTAAGTGAGGCCACCATAATAATTAAATCGAATGATTTATGGCATTCTTGAATATTTACCTCGATAAATCAGGATATTGCGACATAATTATTCGATTTTTAAACTAAAAAATGATAAAAATTTCAAGGAAATTGCATCATCTTAATTGTCATGGACAAAGAAATTTGGGGGGATCGATTAAATATAAATACCACGGTTTTAGAAGAAATTTGGGGGGATCGATTAAATATAAATACCGCGGTTTTAGAAGTGGAAAGCAGTTGTCAGTTGAGTTGCCAGTTGTTAGCAGTCCAGTCCAGTTTGCGTTAAAGTCTACAGTACCTAATGAGTCAAAAGGGTTGAAATTCGCGAAAAGTTCTTATTAAGGTCTCGGAGAAAACGCGTTCGATTTTACTTAGAAAAAGTACGGAAAATTGTGAAAGAAATAACATTTGAAATTCGTTCAACTTATGTGCGGGCTCTAGAAAATTTTGAGTAATTAATTAAAGTAATTTTACGTGTGAAAAGTTAACTGTAAGTACTTAAGTGGTTAATATTTTTTTAATTTTCATCAATGATTCTGAAGGATAAGAAGTGAATTAACAATTAATGCCTAAAAACTTGAGTGATTTTTACTAGAAAAACTTTTTGACTTTATAATTAACTTTGGAACTTTATTGCATACGTTGCGGAAAAACCACAAAAAACTCTTTTAGAGGGATGAAAAGGGTGAAATTTTGTTGGAAAAAGTTGGACCCATAATAAGTAGCCCTTGTCCTACCAGAAAAAACAAATAACTTGTGTCGAGTTTGCGAGATTCAACCTCTCTTTCCTAGCCTATTCTTTGTTTGGGTTTATTTAAGGGCTATAATCAGGTTATTGAATGGAAATACATTTGCGTTTCTTTTTCTTAACGACAAAATTCTAACATCTATTTTGCGCCCATTAGAGTAAAAGTTTCCTAAACGAACCGATGCGCTTTAACGTCCTCGGTGATCAAACGCTAGAACTAAACATTAGCAGCCTTCAACCAGATACCACTTACAACATCCAAGTGGCTGCTTTAACCAGAAAAGGAGACGGCGATCGGAGTACTCCGGTTGAAGTGAGAACGCCTGGAGGTGTCCCCAATCGGCCTGCGCTCACCTTAAAGTATACACTTGAGCACAAAATTTTTTTATTAATTAACTAAGTATTTTTAGAATCATCGAAAGAGACCCGGCAGTGACAATCGAGCTGGAATGGTCTAGGCCTTCGCAAACCTACGGCGAACTAAAAGGCTACCGCTTGCGGTACGGAGTCAAAGACCAACTACTGAAAGATGTCCATTTGAAAGGTTCAGGCACTAGCTACCGAATCAACGACTTGGAACGAGGCGTAGAATACGAATTCCGAGTCGCAGGCCTAAACCACATCGGCATAGGCCAGGAATCCATCAAATATTTACGCACCCCTGAAGGACCTCCCACAGGACCCCCTACAAATATAACTTATCGCTTCCAAACCCCCGACGTGGTATGCGTAACTTGGGACCCACCAACCAGAAACCACCGTAACGGTCAAATAGTAAAGTACGACATTGAGTTTCACAAAAAATCCGATCACAACAACGTAATTTTCCGTAATGTAACCAAAACCAAAGCGGTGTTTACCAACTTAGAAGAAAACACCGAATATGTGTTTCATGTTAGGGCCTACACCAATCAAGGAACCGGACCTAACAGCGAAAAGCAAACAATTCAAACCGAAAAAGATATAGGCAGAGCCCCGATGGCAGTGAAAGCAGTAGCTACTTCAGAATCTAGCGTGGAAGTTTGGTGGGAACCTGTTCCTTCCCGTAACAAAGTCATTGGCTATCAAATATTTTACACAATGACTGCCGTCGAGGACTTGGACGAGTGGCAACAAAAAACCGTGGGCCTAACCAACTCGGCCGATTTAGTCAATTTAGAAAAGTACGCACAATACGCCATTGCTGTAGCAGTTAGAACAAAAAACGGCTTAGGAAGACTATCAGAAAAAGACACAGTCAAAGTAAAACCCGAAGACGTGCCCCTTAACCTGCGAGCCCACGAAGTCACTACTCACTCGATGACCTTATCTTGGTCGCCCCCAATCAGGCTAAATCCTGTCAAATACAAAATATCTTTTGATGCCATCAAAGAGTTTGTAGACTCGCAAGGCATTACCCAAACCCAAAACATACCGAGAGTCGAAATAATTTTAAACGATGACGTCAAATCGCATACGATAAACGAGTTGAGTCCTTTTACGACATATAATGTTAACGTGAGCGCCATACCTAGCGATGACTCGTACCGTCCTCCAACCAAAATCACTGTCACGACGCAAATGGCAGCTCCACAGCCAATGGTAAAGCCCGATTTCTATGGGGTAGTCAACGCGGAAATTCACGTAATCTTACCGCAAGCCTCCGAGGAATACGGTCCTATCAGTCACTACTATTTAGTGGTCGTACCCGAAGACAAATCGACCATACAAAAGAATCCCGATCAATTTTTGACTGACGATCTTTTGGATAATATCAAGAGGGTGTCCGACGATTCGACCTTGCCTTATATAGCTGCCAAATTTCCGCAAAGGAGTATACCGTATACGTTTCACTTGGGCACTGGTGAGGAAAAGGAGGGACTGACGAATTTCAAGTTGAAGCAGGGCACGAGATATAGGATTTTTGTTAGAGCGGTAAGTAAAAGTCACAGGGTTGTACCTTAATGGAGTGGTCATTATGATTTATAAAACAGTTGCCTGGTATTTTGCATTACTTTTCCAAAAATATTATCATCAGTGTCAAGTTCAAATTCAAAGATCTCTTTAGTCTATCTTTTGAGGGGTTAAGGGGGGGTTAGTCCTGAGCGCCGCCTCCTTAATCCACTCATCCTGCACCTTTTCTAAAGTTTTCAGGAAAAAGGATATCAGACTTTACATCTGTTCGCAACGCTATAACAGCCTTATATTCGTTGGCCGCTCTATTACGGTACCACTATCCTAGAATGTGTTAAAAGTGGAAACTTTATTCCATTTCAAAGTAATTTTCCCAACAAAAAACTTTAATTTCTATTCCACAGGTTGTAGACACTCCTCAAAAACACCTCTACACCAGCAGTCCATTTTCCGAATTCCTCTCCCTGGACATGCGTCCTCCTCCTCCAGGAGAGCCTCCGATCAGGCCCAACCCCAACGCACCCACCGACAACGACGTGAAAGTCAGCTCGCAAAGAAAAGAAGCCACCTACCTTTGGGTCATCGGTCCGGTGATAGCGGCAGTCCTTCTGTGCTCGATCCTGGTCGCTTTGTTTATACTGCGTCGTAGGAGGCAACCGTGCAAAGCTCCCGATCAGGCGGCCGTCACAAAGCCCTTAATCTCAGCCGACTTAAACACCAGCTCGGCTCCTAGTGACCCGGTGGAACAGAGACGTTTGAACTTCCAAACTCCCGCCATGATATCGCACCCTCCGATTCCTGTGTCGGAACTTTCCAATCATATTGAACGACTGAAGGCCAACGACAATCTTAAGTTTTCGCAGGAATATGAGAGTATCGAGCCGGGTCAGACTTTTACTTGGGAGTTTTCTAATATGGACGTCAACAAGCCGAAAAATAGATACGCTAACGTTATTTCTTATGATCATAGTCGCGTGATACTGCCAACTGAAGATGGGCGTAGAGGGTCTGATTATATTAATGCCAATTACTGTGATGGGTATAGGAAGCACAATGCTTATGTGGCAACGCAAGGGCCTTTGCCCGAAACGTTCGCCGACTTTTGGAGAATGTGCTGGGAGCTTAAATCGGTCACGGTGGTGATGATGACTAAGCTGGAGGAACGCACCAGGATCAAGTGCGATCAGTACTGGCCGACGAGAGGCACCGAAGTCTACGGCTCGATGTCCGTAACCATATCGGACGTGCAGGAGCTCGCCACTTATTGCATACGCACATTCCAAATCCAAAAGGACGGATACTCGGATAGCCGAGAAGTTAAACAGCTGCAGTTCACTGCTTGGCCGGACCACGGGGTGCCCGATCATCCGGCTCCTTTCTTGCAATTTTTGAGGCGGGTGCGCAGCCTGAATCCGATGGACGCCGGACCTATTTTGGTGCACTGTTCGGCGGGCGTGGGCAGGACCGGGTGTTTTATTGTCATCGATTCGATGCTGGAACGGATGAGGCACGAGAAGACTGTCGATATTTACGGGCACGTGACTTGTCTTCGGGCTCAGAGGAATTATATGGTGCAAACTGAGGATCAGTACATTTTCATTCACGATTCACTTTTAGAGGTAAGCTTGATTTTGGGGGATGAGGTTTGTTGAATTTTTATTGTGGATTCTTTACAGGCTTACATTTGTGGCGCTACCGAGGTACCGGCTCGTAATTTGCACCCGCACATCCAGAAACTGATGCAGCTTGAATTGGGCGAAAATATCACCGGAATGGAACACGAATTTAAAAAGCTAGGCAACATTAAGACTGATTCTTCACGTTTCGTTACTGCAAACTTACCTTGCAATAAGCACAAAAATAGGTAAGTATATAATATGTAGATCAGCGGGTTTCAGAAAACCTCGTGGGTGCTGATGTTCATGCACCGGCATTTATGAGGAGGGGCGAACAGTCCGCCGGTGGCGAAAAAACTTCTCTAGAAGCCACGCCCAAAAACGTTTACCAGCATTCTTTAATTTACATTCGGACGAGTGTCTAAGAAGGGAATGGTAATACATTTGAAACAACGTAGTTCACACCTTTCCATATTCGTTTTCCAGCTACGGGAACTAAGGACTGCTATAAGAGTGAAGAGTAGAGTGTTTTCACAGCTATCAGAACAATACCCACTTCTACCACGTAAAAGCCCTCCTCCAGCATAGCCATCATAGCCCACTATTAATTTATTTTCAAAAGGCGCCGCCGATCTAGAGATTTTCCCACGGTATCGAAAAACTTCCCAGGCTCAAGTGCCCCCAGCTATCAAACTAGCAGATTCACAAGCAAAATATTTATTATTGCAATAAAATTAATGCACCTGTTTATGACCAATACCCACCTCACAGCTATCAGAGCAATACCCACCTCCACTACGTCAAAAAGCTTCTACTCTGAAGAGGTACCTCTTTCCATATCCCTTCACTTTCTTGAAAACTAAAGAATATTTCAACTATTCCTGCATTTGCATTCGTCAATAGTGTTCTAAACTCCAATTTTATTGCAATAATAACATTTTGCTTGTGAATCTGGTGGACCACTTACGTAGTAGAGGTGGGTATTGGTCTGATAGCCGGGGGCACTTGAGCCTGGGAAGTTTTTCGATACCGTGGAAAAATCTCTAGATCGGCGGCGCTTTTGATCTGAAATTTTGGGGATTTGACCCGGGCCAACCCCAAAATTGACGAATTCGAATACAAATGGAAGAATTGGTTAAATATTCTTTGGTTTTCAAGAAAGTGAAGGGATATAATAAAGTGCCATCTCAGGATAAGAGCCTTTTGAAAATAGATTAATGGAGGACTTTACGGAAGAGGGTTTACAGTGCAGGTGGGTAAAAAATGCCTCCTCAGGGCAGGAGCTTCACGGAAGGGGGTACAGTGGAGGTGGGTAAAGTCCGCCTTACGAGTCTAGCACTACGACGTCTGAAGAGCAAGGGGACATAACGCCATTCATTTCGAGCTTTATGCTGCCTGTCATAGATGAGTGTGCAACGTTTTTGAATATTACTTTTTCCTTATAAATGTAGGTGTATAATATAAATAAATATTAAGGTAGTTCTTATTGGAAGTCGAATTAATATTGCAATTTTTTTATCCGTATTCTTTCCATAGTGCTAGACTCGTAAGGCGAACTTTAGTGGTATGATGGCTGTGCTGGAGGGGAGTTTTTACGTGGTAGAGGTGGGTATTGGTCTGATAGCTGTGAAAACACTCTACTGTAAAGTTTGGAAAACTCTCCTGCAGATATTCTTTTCCAAGCAGCATGTATTGAAAATCTGCGTTTTACACTGTTCTTCATAAAAGATTTCTGATTTTCTTCATCTTCTTCTTCTTCTAAACAAAGTACCACCATGTTCTGATATCAACTGCCAGTACTGGATTTACTGTGCTGATTTTACTGTCATTTGCCATTACAATTTCAACAGGGTACTCTTGTGGTCATTCAGTACTGAATAGACTGAATCCAGTGTACCTACTGAAAATAATATCGGAACGACGTCCAGTAAATTCAGTACTGACACAGTTAATATCGGAACATAACCTGGTTAACCAGATTTTAGGAACCCTAGGTACAAAATTAACCAGTTTTCCAGGAACTAGAGAGTTTTTATGTCTATGCTCGTGGGTGCTCGAGCTCCCGAGCACCCACGTAGTCGGCGCCCCTGATGTAGATCGATACTGGCAGGTACTGAGGTCCCATTCGGGAGGGCTCTCAGCTATAGTTGTTATTTTGAGCCAATGTCTCTAGAATGATCTTTCAATTTGTTTGCTAGGATATTCGCTCATCTGGCTGAATACCAAAAATTAAAATCCCAGCACAAAAGACAGCACGTTTTTTAACTTCCTAATTTACTTTTTATCTGCGTTGTTCACAATATATTATGTATATATTTTTTTCATTACTTAATTGTTCTCAACCAATGAAAATAGCCTGGTCTCATTACTCCATTATTTAAGAGCCAATCAGAAAATTCAACAAGTTGACAACATACTTCAACCTTCCAATCGGTCATTTTGATAGCTGATTTTGACTTGTGCTAACCAAACCTCACTTTATCCTCCAGCTGTCAGAATTGTCAACAAATTTTTTTTACGAAAATTAAATAAAAAACCGCATAACTCGTGCCTATTATCTATTAATCATAGAAAAAGTATAGTATTCTACTCGTGAGTAATGGCTATTACTCACTCGGACGATTACACTACTCGCCTGCGGCTCGTAGTGCAAACTTCATCCTTCATGAATAGTAGCCATCATTACCCGCTCGTTGAATAATATACTATTATTCAACTGACCTGTGAATGCTCCTTTTGACAGGCAAACTAATCACAAATTGGATTGAACAATCAGTTTAATACAAAATGAAAATTGAATAATGAACAATGGCGGACAAGCGGCTTTTTCCCTGGTCTCTCATTTTCTATCTACCCTTCGGTACCTACGATTTTCCTGTGGCGCGCCACTGTTCTCAAAAACTTTACATCGCATACATGGTTGCAACATTTACCATTTGCTTTTCTATGGGAAACTTTTCAAAAAGTTGATTTGTAGAAATGATATTTTAAATAGGCGATTTTTCTCAATACTTCTTGAGATTCAACATGACATAAGAAATAATTTTCAACCAATCAGCTGCAAGAGAATAATCACATGTTGTTGTTTTAAATTCCTTAAGGTGGCTTTACATTTCCAATTCTCTACGTTTCCAGATTAGTACATATCCTACCTTACGAAAGTACGCGGGTTTGTCTGCAAGCAATAAGAAACATGGAAGGTTCCGATTACATAAACGGTAGTTTCATCGATGGTTATCGGTATCGGAAAGCGTACATCGCCACCCAAGGTCCTCTACCCGACACCACTGACGATTTATGGCGCATGCTTTGGGAACACAACTCTACCATTATTGTAATGCTGACTAAACTTAAGGAAATGGGAAGAGTAAGAATAAAATCTAACTAAACTGCTGGACAAATGAAACGGAACAAGCGAATTTTTAATTTAACTTTGGATTCCAATAAAACGCGAACTGGAGAAGTTATCAATGAATGATTTGCGTAATTTAAGAGTTAGTTTTCGCAAACCGCTCATTGATATTATTTTCAGTTCGCGTAATATTGTAATTTGAAGTTAACCTAAAAATTCGCTTGTTCCGTTTCATTTGTCCAGCAGTTTATTTAATTAATAAATACATGATTATTTTTACATAGGAAAAGTGTCATCAATATTGGCCAAGCGACCGCTCGGTTCGTTACGGATGTTACGTGGTAGACCCGATAGCCGAGTACAACATGCCCCAATACATTTTGCGCGAATTTAAAGTTACGGACGCGCGCGATGGTTCTTCTAGAACGATGCGCCAATTCCAGTTCACCGATTGGCCCGAGCAAGGAGTACCAAAGTCCGGAGACGGTTTCATCGATTTCATTGGACAGGTGCACAAGACTAAGGAACAATTCGGACAAGACGGTCCTATCACTGTACATTGCAGGTACATAAATACCGAGGGGTGGTTAACTCCTTACAATATGTACACAAATCTTCACACGATTTTACAGGATTTTAAAAGATTTTAGATTTTTTAGATTTTAGGTTATTTTGGAGCATTTTAAAGGATTTTGAAGGGTTTTTCTGCCTAAAGGGTTTTCAGAGATTTTTACGAATTTTTGGGAACCCCAAAGGATTTTTGGAAATTTTAAAGGAAATATTTTTTAGGATTTTCAATGATTTTATAAGACTTCGCGGCATTTCTTTTTTTTTTGTTCTAATAAAATTTCATGAGATTTTGTAGGATTTTATGCGATTTCAAGTGATTTTAAGGAATTTTGTAGGATTTTATGCGGTTTCAAGTGATTTTAAGGGATTTTGTTGAATTTTTAAAGGTTTTAAGGGATTTTAAGTAGATCTTACGAGTTTTTCTGGGGTTTTGACCAACTTGTAAACGGATTTTGACCAATTAACTGCTCCGAGGTTTAGTTAACTCCTTAAAATAATTACACAGATTTGAATCTTTATGGATTTTGTAGGATTTTGAGGATTTTGAAAATCTTCACACGATTTTACAGGAATTTAGAAGATTTTTGAGATTTCAGATGATTTTGGAGCATTTTAGGGGTTTTTGAAAAGTTGTTAGAGATTCTAAAGTGTACTTAGAGGTTTTAACAAATTTTTGGGGATTCCAATTCCAAAGGATATTTTCTAGGAATGTTAATGATTTTATAAGATTTTGCAGGATTTTTTTCTTTTGGTTTCAGTAAAATTTTGTAGGATTTTATACGATTTTGTGGGGTTTTGTTAAATTTTTATGGATTTTAAAGATTTTTAAGGATTTTAAATAGGTAATTCTTACTAGATTTTCTGGGATTTTGACCAACTTGTACACGGATTTTGACCAGTTAACCGCCCCTCGGTTATTGTCTACTTGAAAAATTTGAAATTTTGGGAAAATGGAGCTTCTAACTTTTCTCTTCTCTTGCAAAAATTTTCAAATTTTTCCTTTCATTAGTTTTCCAGGAAAAATTTTAAATTTGTGAGACGGTATTATCAACTAATTCAGTTTTTGACAGGTTGATTTCCAAGATTCTTCATGTTGTTATTTTCCACTGGAAAAATTTAAAATTTTGGGAAAATGAGCTTCTCACCTTTTTCTTTACATGCAACAAGTTCCAAAAATTTTCCCTTCACTAGTTTTCCAGGAAAACTTTGAATTGTGTGAGACAGTATTTTCAATTAATTCAGTTATTGAAGGTTCATTTCCAAGATTCTTCATGTTGTTATTTTCCATTGGAAAAATTTAATATTTTGGGAAAATGAGCTTCTTACCTTTTTCTTCACATACAAAAAGTTTCAAAATTTTTCCTTCACTAGTTTTCCAGGAAAACTTTGAAATGTGTGAGACTATATTTTCAATTAATTCAGTTATTGTACGTTGATTTCCAAGATTCTTCATGTTGTTATTTTCCACTGGAAAAATTTGAAATTTTGGGAAAATGAGCTTCTCACCTTTTTCCTTACATGCAAAAAGTTACAAAATTTTCCCTTCACTAGTTTTCCAGGAAAACTTTGAAATGTGTGACACTGTATTTTTAAGTAATTCAGTTTTTGTAGGTTGATTTCCAAGATTCTTCATGTTGCTGTTTTCCATTGGAAAAATTTGAAATTTTTGGGAAAATGAGCTTCTCACCTTTTTCTTTACATGCAAAAAGTTTCTTAATTTTTCCTTCACTAGTTTTCCAGGAAAACTTTGAATTGTGTGACAGTATTTTTTATTAATTTAGTTATTGTAAGTTGATTTCTGATATTCATGTTGTTATTTTCCACTGAAAAAATTTGAAATTTTGGGAAAACGAGCTTCTCACCTTCCTCTTTACATGCAAAAAGTTTCAAAACTTTCCCTTCATTAGTATTCCAGGAAAACTTTGAAATGTGTGAAACTGTATTTTCAATTAGTTCAGTTTTTGTAGGTTGATTTCCAAGATTCTTCATGTTGTTATTTTCCACTAGAAAAATTTGAAATTTTGGGAAAATCAGTCTCTGACATTCCTCTTCACATGCAAAAAGGTTCAAATTTTTCCCTTAATTAGTTTTCCAGGAAAATTTTGAATTGTGTGAGACTGTATTGACAATCATTTCAGTTTTTGTAAGTTGATTCCCAAAATTTTTCATGTTGTTATTTCCCAATGGAAAAATTTTAAAATTTTGGGAAAATGAGTTTCTCCCCTTCCTTTTTACATGCACACAGTTTCAAAATTTTCCCTTCACTAGTTTTATTAGATTTTGTAGGATTTTGTTAAATTTTTAAGGATTTCAAAGATTTTTAGGGATTTTGAGTAGATCTTCTGGGATTTTGACCAACTTGTACACGGATTTTGACCAGTTAGCCACCCCTCGATAAATACATATATATTTTTATAACAATTGTGAACAATAATTTGCATTTCAGTGCTGGTGTTGGAAGAACTGGTGTATTTATAACGTTGAGTATAGTTTTGGAAAGAATGCAATATGAAGGGGTGGTAGATGTGTTCCAAACTGCCAGGATATTGAGGACTCAGAGGCCTGCCATGGTACAAACAGAGGTAACCAATCAAAAACTTTAAAAAATTTAAATTAATTTAAATATTTTTGCTTTAGGATCAGTACCAGTTTTGTTATCGAGCAGCTCTCGAATATTTAGGATCTTTTGATCATTACACAAACTAAGTTGTTAATTTGATTGTTAAGAGGATGCTGGCTTTATCAATAAATTAATGTGTCTGTGTATAAAAGCCAAATACATAATTTAACTTTACTTTGCAGATTTTATATTAATTTGCTTTATACTCGAGGTCATTTTAATATCTAAAATTTTTGATTCTAAAGACCAATCAATGAGCCCAAAAGATGTCTAAAGATAGCGATATTTTGCACTGTAGGTACAGCATTCTCTTAATATAATTGTTAACAGAAGATGACAATAACTGCCCCCATGCATCGTCCAGCGAGCTCTTCTGTTTTCGACTTTGCCATCATTGCTAGGAGGCAAATTTGATGGGGAAAATTATTAAAAAATGCAATCCGTTGTAAAATGTAAATTTAAGCAAACCGATAAAATTAGCAAGAAAAACGTGTGAATTATGTGCCTAACATAAGGGAGAGAATATATGGAAATTGTATAGTAAACTGCCCCTGATGTGCACAACAATTATTAGCGAATCAGTATTTTAAATGTTCAATTTTTTGTATTTTTTGTCACTTTTGTCTGTTTTTTTTTTAACAACTTTTATGTCTTGCCTTGATTTATCTCATAATTAAGTATAACTAAATGTCAACAACTCTTAATGCTGACTTTTATATATTTTTTTTGTACTTTGTTATCCATTAACTTGGAATATGATGTTTTTTGTCTTATTTTTTTTCGGGAAAATCCTTTTATTATTAAATTGTTAACAAATTTATATATTTTTCCAAAACAAAATAATAATAAAAACTTTCTCCCTCTAAACGTATAAGTATACATATCCTCCTCTAACATTTAAATTTGTATCCCTGCCCTGCATTATATCATATATTAACTTAGATTTTTTTTTATAAACCAATTATTTACAATGATAATTATTAATAATTAGTTAGCGTAAATGAAATATTAGTGATACTCAAGAACAAAAACTGGTTGTATATATACCGGGTTTATATATTTTGACATCCACAAGATGTTTATTTAATCCAATGGGTGGGTGTCAAAAATTATTAAATCTTGGACACTTATTATTTTTGTCAAAAAAAAAAAAAAGAAAATACCGTTTTCGGTATCTAGACTGATTTTTATTAATTATTACTTAATTTTCTGTTTGTTTAATTAATGTATAAATCAATTCACAAAACGTTGTAGCACATGATGAGTAAAAGAGATCTTGAGAAAAATAAAAAATAGATTTTAATTACTTTTTGTTTTGTTTCATCAGCTCATTTTTTTGTCCTTTTCATCAGCCCTTTGAAAAAACATATTATTTACGTATCATTATGTAACTCATATAAGTGTGGTTATTTAGGTGTACAACATAATATGGGATTTTTACCATTGAAAATGTGGGCACGTAGTATGGGGTATGAAATTCGAAATTTTTATGTTGCATTTGTCACAGAGTCGGAGAAGGGAGATGATGGGTAGGAGGTAGGGGGGTAGGGACTTTTGAGACAAGGACCTGCAACAAGAGTAAGTTTTTGGAAGAAGTCCAGAGAAGTCAGGATAAAGTCTGCTAAAGACTGGATAAGTCTGTATAAGGCTGGATAAAATCTGGAAAAGGCCTGGAAATTTCTGGAAAGGGTCGGAAAAATTCTGGAAAGAGTTAGGTTATCGCTGATCTCAGAGCTCACATTAATCGCAACTCGAATCACAAGCATAAGGGTACGTCGAGGGGTTTTTCACCTTGTTTATCGGTGTACAAATCACTGGTTATAAATATGTCAATACATACCAGGTAAATACTATGTCAATAGTGTTAATACTATGCAATACCTACTTGTTAATAATGTAAGTAATAATATGTCAATACTTGTAGATATCTAGGCAATATACAGGGTGTTCCTAAATATCATCACATATCACAAACAGTTTTTAAATAAGGTAGAAACATTATTTTGTTTCTTGGAATCGACCAGCAGCACATTGCGAAAGAGTTCAGAGGGCATGACCTCTGAAAAAGCATCACCCTGTAGATTCTGACAAGCGCTTGACATGTGCAATCATTTAGCTCCTATTGCGTAACCTATATTCTAAATTTGAGCTAAATCCCTCAAAAATTGCAGGAGCTATGAAGAAAAAACTAAAAAAATATTAAAATTTCAACACCCTGTAGATCGGTGATGAAGCATTTGCGGACCTATGTTTATAAGAAATTTAAGTCATAAAATAAACCAAGGAATCACCCCCTTTCATTTGTATGTACATGATATTTAGGAACACCCTGAATGTTAATGTCATTGGTTGATACAATGGCTCATACGAATAAAACAGAAGCAAAAGCTTTTGCTCAAGTTTTTTGAGATAAACATATTCAGCTTTAATGCAGCAAAAAGAGACGTAGGTAAAGTAAAAGCATTTGCTCGACTTTACTTTATTTATATGACTAAATGTCATTGGTTGAGCAGGTAAAGGTAAAGAGGTGTAGTAACCTGGATTTGGAAAATGAAGCCGTTCTTGGCGGTATAGGCAATTCAATGCTTTACCTGTATTTTGGTGCCAAACACCTGCCAAAAACTTGGCTTCACATTAGTTTCATAAGCAGAATGGCGCGTTCCTACTTCTTATGTCCGTAGAACAGTGCTTTACCTGCTCAACATACCCATTAATAACATGTAAATACCTGTAAATATGTCAATACCTAGAATTCTGGCAAGTTAAAAATTTGATTTTAGTTTGTCACTAGCATGGCAATATGTGATAATACTAGGGAAATACCTGGCAATATGTGATAATACTAGGGAAATACCTGGCAATATGTGGGAATATTTTGTTAATAGTTAATACATGGAAATAGTTGGCAATAACTTGTCATTAGTTACATAGAAATATCTGTTAATACATGGAAATATCTCAGTCAGTACTGTTAATCGGTGTACAAATTTTATTAGGTGAAAAACCTATACTGTATACATACTGATTTCTGCGATTTTTCGAAGAAATGCATTGTGGTACTGGGTATTTGTTTATAACTGGAACACTCAGTAACTTTCTTATTATTGAAATTAAAAGGGCATGTTTAAGTTGGAAAATTTCTTGGTAAATTGCATCCTTAAGCGCTACAACAATATTTTTTTGTCGTCATAGGTATACAGGGTGCGCCAAAAAGGTATTTTTTTCAAATGGAATGCCCTGTATATTTTTGTTATTCAAATAGTGTTTGATATATTTGTGAAGCTAATTTTCTAAGAATTTCAAAAATGCAAAAATATACAGGGCGTTCAATGTGTCATTTCAAGATTAGAATAAATGATGATATTCACCATGAAGTTTTTGTTCACAATTTACTGGATGTAGCGTACCTATACCTTGCTTGGTGCATTGCATCCTTAGAAATGTATCTTCCGTCAATAAAAAGTCTTCATTTGAAGATTGAAGATGAACTAATCTATTCACAATACGATGTCCAAAGGTAAAGGTAAAATGTATCACTTTTCAGTGCTATTTGATAGGGAAAGGTGATAAATTTACCTCTACCTTTGGACTACGGATTGTGAATAGGATATACACAGCTTTGTAGTACGGAATAAGTTGCTTTTAAACTGGCCAAAAACCGGCGTTCATTGTGTACTAATGAGATGACTTGTAGGCGCTGATTAACCTAACCTGCCTCCTTTGTGTGCGTACCTTTACAAGTGCACAAAATACTACTTTGTTGCACGCAAAACTCAACTAGTGTGCAAAGTATTAAGTAATGCAGAAAAAACCTACTTTGCACACGCAAATAAAGTAAATCTGTTAAAATCACTTACTGCAAGTTCCAAAGTTGGGCAGGCTTCACTGAGCAACAAGTCCACACAAGTCCCAGTCTGCAAAATGACGATTTTGCGAATTTCGCGGTGGCGCGTGTGCCAATTAAGTGCGAAACACTACGACGAACACTTTATCACGATTTTCGCGTTAAAATTTCCCGAAAAAACACTAAATTTTCCAAGAAAATCGACGAGAAAATCCGGCACGAGGCACACGCTTCCACGTCATCGCCCCGAATAAAATTATTATTTGTCAAAAAAACCTAAGTCACCTTCAGATTAGTTGCATCTCTTTCTATCTCGCGTCATTGAAAAAAGACAAATTCCAAGGCCTACTTGGGCAGGATCTATTTTTCGTTACTAGCGCCATCTATCAATAACCAGAAGAAATAAACAACAAACAACCTGTAAGGGTATTGGATCATTTTAAGGGTATTATTCCAATAACAAGTGCGCAAAGTGATACTTTATCGCATGCAAAACACGTAAAAGGGTATAATGAATCAAAAATAGCCTTTTCCAGCACTCAATTGTGTGTGCAAAAGGTTACTTTGCACACGAAAATGGGTATTTTGGAAAACTTCTACTTCTAATCACAAAACAACTTATAAGTTTATCAATATTCTACCAATTTTAATGTGTAATTGATGATTTTTAATAAAAATCGAATTCTTTACAAGATAAAATAGGTTTAAATCTTTGAATTTGTAAATGAATTTGAAATATTTTTAGCGAGAATTGCTTTAAATTAAATACATTAAAGGTCAATTCTCACAATACTCACATTGTCGCTGGATAAATATTTCATTGGTTTAAATGTAGTGTAGTGCAGTGTAGGTGGGAAGGCCCACATCCAGGGCGGTAGCCAGGGGGGGGCATTGGGGGGCAATGCCCTATCTTTTAAATGATAATGCCCTACCTTAAAAAATCAACATACATTAAGGTTTCTTTAGAAAATTTAAGAGTAGATGATGCCTGAAGTAGATTATAGGCCTGAAATCGAGTAAGCGAGGATGAATGTTTGCGAAAATGCCTAAATCTAATGAACAATGGTTGACGTTTGCACAGAGGAAGTTTTTTTTTTATTGAAAGACTGCGAGTGGCCCAGGCGGCCGGCCGCGCCATTTTGTTTACTTGCCAGAGATTTTATTTATTGCAAGGTTGTTTGATAGAGGCAAGAGAAGTAGGATGCCAGGGCTGGAACTCTGTAACGGATAGAGATCGTTATCCCTATCGCTATGGCACTAGCTGTCTTCTTCTCTCTTGTCGAAATTAATAGAGAGGAGACGTCAATAGAGATGGAGAAAATATCTCTATCCGTTACAGAGTCCCAGCCCTTGTAACTTTATGACGTCACCTGTGGTGCCTCAACATAATGTAAATCTCTTTAAGGTATCCCAGATCAGATGCGTCATCAAGTTACCCATTACTTTACCATACATTATACATACCTTGACGCATCATCAATTTACCCATTACCATACAACCTGAACCTTGATAATTTACTGAAAAATTTTGTTTACCTATTTAGGGAGGTGGAGGGGGGCAAGTAGTGTGTGCCCTATGTCGAATTTGTCATGCCCTATCTTAAATTTGACTCTAGCTACGGCCCTGCCTACATCCCAGGCTCGTGAAAGTTATTAGGTTGCCTGGTAATGGGTATCTTGATGACGCATCTGGGCCCTGGGGTGCCTTATGGCGATTTGCATTATGTTGAGGCACCCCAGATGACGTCATAAAGTTATCAGGCAGACAAGCAATCTACTTTTTTCAAACAACCTTGACCCACATCGATTTTTAAATGTCATTTTTTTTGACGTTTGCGCTAAGGTTGGTGCATTTATTTGTCAGGGTTGCCGTGTTTTTAATTTAATGCGAATAAGGGCGGGTATTATAAAACTGCTTTGACAGTTAACTTGAAATTAATTTTTTTGAATTACCTACGTGTAATTCCAGAAGTTAACTTCAAGTTAACTCAAAGTACTTTTATAATACCCGCCTTAAGTCTAATACTCATAACTGCGAAATTCGCATTTTTTTGACATTGCTTCGACAATTTGACGTTTGATACACGCATAAAACGTCAGATTGTCAACGCAATGTCAAAAAAATGCGAAATTCGCGGTTATGAGTACTAAGCTCTAAAACGGAAATTAGTGACAATTGGGGTTAGAAAGACGGGATTTTTTGACGTTTGTTGTATTATAAGCGGCATTGTCATATTTTTTTTGCTAGCCCGAAGGGCCGGGGTCTTTTTAAATTGCGAGCCCGGAGGGCCGGGATCTGCATTTTAAAACGACCCTGGCCCTTCGGGCTCGTAATCACAAAATTCCTCGCCCTACGGTTTCGGAATTTTTTTATGTTGAGATTTTGTGTTTTAATGATCAATCAGGACACAAACAATGCTGAACTTCGTTGACCAGTCAGAAATTAACTACTCCGAGGGCAAATACCCCTACCGGCGTTAAACTACACTGATTGGTCTGAGCTTTGGTTGGCAATGGAAATTGTTGGAAAGATTTTTTCAGGTAATGACCAACATGAATACAGGGACACTACGGTCCCTGTTTGGGAATCGGCCCACTGAGCAGAGCAGTGGACTCAGGCTTCTCGTGCCAATCCTTGACGCGTTTCGTCTTTGTTTGGACTCATCAGAAGGACATAGGCTGAAGCTCCCTGTCCAAGCAAAATTGAACTTCGTTGACCAGTCAGAAAACGAAAGCTCAGACCAATCAGTGTAGTTCAACGCCGGTAGGGGTATTTGCCCTCGGAGTAGTTGTTTCTGACTGGTCAACGAAGTTCAATTTTGCTTGGACAGGGAGCTTCAGCCTATGTCCTTCTGATGAGTCCAAACAAGGACGAAGCGCGTCAAGGATTGGCACAGGAAGCCTGAGTCCACTACTCAGTGGGCCGATTCCCAAACAGGGACCGTAGCAGGGCCGTAGCCAGGGGGGGGGGGGGCATTGCCCTATGTTTTAAATGATGATGCCCTACCTTTAAAAATCAACATTCATTAAGGTTTCTCTAGAAAAAAAAAGAGTAGATACCTAATGCCTGAAGTAGATAGGTCTGAAATTGAGTAAGCGAAGATAAATGTTTCCGAAAACGCCTAAGTCGCCCGAATACCCGCGTTCACTAGATACAAATGTTGGTAAACGCTTTGTGATTTTTCTGCTGAACGCTACGTTGAATTTGTGTTGAAACCAAACATGTTTTGCAAACGGTCGCCATTTTTGCAAGCATTATTTAAGAGTTTTTATAATTTTCAACAGTTTAGGCCTTTTCGGAAACACTGATCCGATTAACCCGATCACCAGCTGTTTGTCTTGTATCTTCCTTCAACGAATATACGATTGAAAAAAAACCAAGGATATCAGCTGGTGATCTGATTAATCGGATCAGCGTTTCCGAAAAGACCTTTTGTATTTTGTGTGGTGACATGACACTCAGATATCTCTGACTCAGAGGGTGACGTACTATCATTTAGAAAGTTGAATCGTTTAGCAGAACGAAGAGTTTACCCAACGTATTCTGTTGGTATTTGTAAACTGTTTACAACCCGTTTTGGTTCTGGTGAACGTAGTCAATGTAATGAACAATGTTTGACGTTTGCACAGAGGAAGTTTTTTTGTTTTGAAAAAGTGCGAATGGCCCTAGGCGGCCGGCGCGAGAATCAGCGCCATTTTGTTTACTTGCCAGAGATGTTATTTATTGCAAGGTTGTTTGATAGAGACGAGAGAGGTAGGTTGCCTGGTAACTTTATGACGTCATCTGGGGTGCCTCAATATAATGCAAATCTCTATAAGTTACCCCAAATCAGATGCGTCATCAACCCTACCCATATATATTCTTTTTCGATGATTTGCCCGAAATTTTGACAATCACGTGACTGGATCAGACAATTTCAAGTTACAAATCACGTGCCTCTCAAAATTTCGGAGCAAATCAACGAGAAAGATGATAAAAATGAACATGGCTTTTGTCGAAAAATTTGCCATCGGCGCCATTAGCCCCATTTTGTTTACCCATAAAAAAATTTAAGGGGTGGGGGGGCAAGTAGTGTATGCCCTATGTCAAATTTGTCATGCCCTATTATAAATTTGACTCTAGCTACGGTCCTGGACCGTAGTGTCCCTGTATTCACGTTGGTCATTACCTGAAAAAATCTTTCTAACAACAAACAATGCTGTTTGACTTGCAACCATTCTAAGGGCCGATACTTTTGTTCTCGATTAACGAATGATACGTTGTCGAAGTTTTGCATGAGGTCTTTAAGTATGGTGTGGTTAAAGCACAATCTAACCCCTGATCAGTGGCGGATTTACGATTTATGGGGCCCTACGCTACATAATTTATGGGGCCCCTACCCCCTATTTTTTTTAAAATACAAAGGACAAAATAATAGTAAATTATTTAACGAGCGTATAATGTAGGCTATATAATACGAGCCGCAGGCAAGTGTAACAGTCATTATACGCGAGTCAAATACTATGCTTTATCTACGACTATTCATTTTATTAAGGAAATATAGGTAATGACTACGTATATTTCACAAGTTGTATCTGGATACTCAGTGGATTGGATTATTAAGAAGGATTAAGAATTCTGAAATAAAAACCCGGGATTAAGAGAGTTTATCCGGATCCGAGTACTTAATCCAATTTCCCAAATTTCTAGAATTGGACTTAAAATGGATTATCTCAAATGTAAAATAAACACCTCAAATCTCGGATTTAAAAAGTTTGTTGCTAACTTCAAGAAAAAATGACCTAAACTTGCTTAGAGCAGGTAAAGCACTGTCCTACGGACATAAGGAGTAGGAACGCGCCATTTTGTTATAAAACTTGAAGTGAAGCCAGTCTTAAGCCTAGTACTCATAACTGCGAAATTCGCATTTTTTTGACATTGCTTCGACAATTTGACGTTTGATACACGCATAAAACGTCAAATTGTCAACGCAATGTCAAAAAAATGCGAATTTCGCAGTTATGAGTACTAGGCTTTAGGCAGGTGTTTGTACACTAATTGACAGGTAAAGCAATAGTTGTATTCCTTTCAAAGGTTTGAAACACTCGAGCTACTCGTTCCGGTGTTTAGTCGCCCCCGATTTGCAGGGAACAGATGCGTAGTGCAACAAACACTTTTCGAAAAGAATAAGCGCGTGAAGCTCAGGAGCTGTTCCGGAGCTCCTCCTAGGTGTGAAAGGAATACAACTTTGAGTAATTTGAATTTGCTATACCGCCATTATTTTGGATCTCAAAATACCTGCAAAAAAACGGCTTCATTTTCCGACTCCATGTTCCTACTCCTCCCATCTAGGAAATTAGCTGTTCTAAGCTTAAACCTAATAAAAACCTAGAAAGTGTATCACTGGTTACCATAAAATGAAGTAGACACAAAGCAATTTGCGTTTGCTCTTTTAACAGTGCTTGAGAAAGGATAATTCATTTAATAGGTAGTTATGAAATAAACGAATATGGAATAACTATCCTTAATCTACTTAGTATCTGGATACAACATGTGATATAAACGTAGTCATTTTGCGGTCAATTTGCAGATTTGCAAAAATATTTGCAGATGTCTTCGGAAAATGAGTGAGTACTATTCATAGAGAAACAGACTAAAAAGTTTTAGTCTGTTTCTCTATGGTACTATTCTTTAGTCGCCAGTCTACAAGGATCACACTATACAATTTTGTAATTTTTCCTTGTTTTCTCTAGAAGTAATGCTAGAGATGGTACTTGTGCGGCTCACTTACTTTCAATTGAAAGTTTTCCCACTTATTGCAATCTTTTTTTCTCGCTTTTTTTCTGTCATAATAGTTCTATATTTATTTATTTAATTTTTTTATTTTTTTAAGATTTAAATTAATTTAACATATTTTTTTTAAATGTAGAGAGGGCCGCTGCGGGGCCCCAGGCTGCCCGGGGCCCTACGCTGCAGCGTAGTTAGCGTATATGGGTAAATCCGCCACTGCCCCTGATTATTTTGAACAGCTGTCAAATGAGAGCGTGCTATTATCAAAAAAAATCCCCATATGTTGCACACTTAATAAATAACCACCCTGTAGAACAGGAAAAAGGGAAAAAAATTGTATTTAATTTTAATAAAAATCCAAATTAGTTCAATTAATAATTTATTTGCTACAAAAAATTCATTATAATTTCTTAAGCACTTCACCAAAAAGATAATGAAGCTTTTCAAGTCCCTCCTCATTAACCAGATACCATTCTTCCTGCTTCATCCTCTCAATATAAGCGCTAATCTTTGGAAATTCTTGAGGCCAATTGGGCACAAAATAGCCCCAGCTAGTTACACTAGTGGTAATACTAAAATCAACTATAGACAAGGTATTTTTCCCACTATGTAGTTTGAATCAAGTTGTTTCTCTAAAAATCCAAAGGCTTCTTTTAGATCGTCCAGACTTTGCTGAGTGGGTTTGAGCCTGTGATAGTTCAAAGGCCTCTAAAACTTATCAAAATGATAAAGGCAGTAGGTATTAATTTGATGTAATTGATTACAGTTATTTGTAGGCCTTTTGCAGCAATAATGCTGGAATCCAAATGTAAGCGGTGGTCAATCAAAGCTCGACGTTTTATGTCGTTTTTCGGATACAAAGGATCATTTTCCTTGCCAAATTTTCCTATTAAATAGCCGTTGATTGCGTGACTATCTGCCAAAAAAAAATCCGTCGTCTTCTAGTAAAGGAATAGTGTGTTGGGGATTTATCTGTGAGAAGATATTTTTATTTTCTTTTTCAGTAAATACAATTTTACTCATTTTAGTAAAGGGCTACCTTAAGGCTTAAATGCTCTCCATTAATAAAGTCGATTGTTTGCACTTTCAAATCGATTTCCAAGACTTTTGCGCACTTCAAAACGGCCCTAAAAGGCGGACTAGCAGAAGCACCATATATTTTGAGAGACATTTTTGTTTTTGGACCAGATATTTGGTGTTTAGGCAATTGTTATTTTAATCTAGCTTATCTATTGATTAAAAGCCATAGCATCTAATCGTGAAGGGCTTTTATATTTCGTTATCACAAAAATTTTCCTTCAATTTCGATAATTATACACATTTTTGTGAAATCAACATTTTCAACTGAGTTTTTATTACTTAATATAAAGTCTGTTCTTTCTCCTCCTAGAAATTATACCTAGTTCCACTAGTTCCAGACCAGGACAGCATACAAAGTTTCAAAGACGTCTTTTTTAGGTCTGCATTGCGTCTGAACGTCTGAAAACAAAAAAAAAAACATGATAGAAGATGTCTTTGAGACATCTCTCGTTGAAAACTTCTTGTGGGATTCTGATGTGCACATTTTTCAAGGTGGTTTACCCCTCAATCCCTAATTATACTACTTATTTTCCTATAAATTACACACCTACCTATAGTTCCTGAGATAAAATCGTGTTAAGCAATTTGGGGTGATTTATCAATTTGTCAATTTTTCTGAGAATAATTTAGTGTATGGAGTTTGGGGTATGTTGATTGACCATTAGGATACAAAATCTCGACAAAAAAAAAATTGAAATTTCATCGTTTTAGTAAGAAGGTACCTACCTTATGATTTACATTTTGGAAAACTTTGAAAGGTCATAACTTTTTTTCTATTATAGATAGAAAGCTGAATCTTTCACTAAATTTCACCATTTTCAAAGGACTACAATCCCTGAAAATTTCAGCTCATTTGCACTTATAGTTCCTGAGATAAAATCGTGTTAAGCAATTTGGGGTGATTTATCAAATTTTTCAATTTTTCTGAGTGCCTTTTTTCATAGATTTCGGCTTCAAATCTGGGAATAATTTTGTGTATGGAGTTTGGGGTATGTTGATTGACCATTAGGATACAAAATCTCGACAAAAAAAAAATTGAAATTTCATCTTTTTAGTAAGAAGGTACCCCCCTTGTGATTTTTTTGGAAAACTTTGAAAAGTCATAACTTTTTTTCTATTATAGATAGAAACCTGAATCTTTCACTGAATTTTATCTTTTTCAAAGGGCTACAATTCCTGAAAATTTCAGCTCATTTGCACTTGTAGTTCCTGAGATAAAATGGTGTTAAGCAATTTGGGGTGATTTATCGATTTTTCAATTTTTCTGAGTACCTTTTTTCATAGATTTCGGCTTCAAATCTGAGAATAATTTTGTGTATGGAGTTTGGGGTATGTTGATTGACCATTAGGATACAAAATCTCGACAAAAAAAAAATTGAAATTTCATCTTTTTAGTAAGAAGGTACCCCCCTTATGATTTTTTTGGAAAACTTTGAAAAGTCATAACTTTTTTTCTATTATAGATAGAAACCTGAATCTTTCACTGAATTTTATCTTTTTCAAAGGGCTACAATTCCTGAAAATTTCAGCTCATTTGCACTTGTAGTTCCTGAGATAAAATGGTGTTAAGCAATTTGGGGTGATTTATCGATTTTTCAATTTTTCTGAGTACCTTTTTTCATAGATTTCGGCTTCAAATCTGAGAATAATTTTGTGTATGGAGTTTGGGGTATGTTGATTGACCATTAGGATACAAAATCTCGACAAAAAAAAAATTGAAATTTCATCTTTTTAGTAAGAAGGTACCCCCCTTATGATTTTTTTGGAAAACTTTGAAAAGTCATAACTTTTTTTCTATTATAGATAGAAACCTGAATCTTTCACTGAATTTTATCTTTTTCAAAGGGCTACAATTCCTGAAAATTTCAGCTCATTTGCACTTGTAGTTCCTGAGATAAAATGGTGTTAAGCAATTTGGGGTGATTTATCGATTTTTCAATTTTTCTGAGTGCCTTTTTTCATAGATTTCGGCTTCAAATCTGAAAATAATTTAGTGTATGGAGTTTGGGGTATGTTGATTGACCATTAGGATACAAAATCTCGCCAAAAAAAAAATTGAAATTTCATCGTTTTAGTAAGAAGGTACCCCCCTTATGATTTTTTTGGAAAACTTTGAAAAGTCATAACTTTTTTTCTATTATAGATAGAAACCTGAATCTTTCACTGAATTTTATCTTTTTCAAAGGGCTACAATTCCTGAAAATTTCAGCTCATTTGCACTTGTAGTTCCTGAGATAAAATGGTGTTAAGCAATTTGGGGTGATTTATCGATTTTTCAATTTTTCTGAGTACCTTTTTTCATAGATTTCGGCTTCAAATCTGAGAATAATTTTGTGTATGGAGTTTGGGGTATGTTGATTGACCATTAGGATACAAAATCTCGACAAAAAAAAAATTGAAATTTCATCGTTTTAGTAAGAAGGTACCCCCCTTATGATTTTTTTGGAAAACTTTGAAAAGTCATAACTTTTTTTCTATTATAGATAGAAACCTGAATCTTTCACTGAATTTTATCTTTTTCAAAGGGCTACAATTCCTGAAAATTTCAGCTCATTTGCACTTGTAGTTCCTGAGATAAAATGGTGTTAAGCAATTTGGGGTGATTTATCGATTTTTCAATTTTTCTGAGTGCCTTTTTTCATAGATTTCGGCTTCAAATCTGAGAATAATTTTGTGTATGGAGTTTGGGGTATGTTGATTGACCATTAGGATACAAAATCTCGCCAAAAAAAAAATTGAAATTTCATCGTTTTAGTAAGAAGGTACCCCCCTTATGATTTTTTTGGAAAACTTTGAAAAGTCATAACTTTTTTTCTATTATAGATAGAAACCTGAATCTTTCACTGAATTTTATCTTTTTCAAAGGGCTACAATTCCTGAAAATTTCAGCTCATTTGCACTTGTAGTTCCTGAGATAAAATGGTGTTAAGCAATTTGGGGTGATTTATCGATTTTTCAATTTTTCTGAGTGCCTTTTTTCATAGATTTCGGCTTCAAATCTGAAAATAATTTAGTGTATGGAGTTTGGGGTATGTTGATTGACCATTAGGATACAAAATCTCGCCAAAAAAAAAATTGAAATTTCATCGTTTTAGTAAGAAGGTACCCCCCTTATGATTTTTTTGGAAAACTTTGAAAAGTCATAACTTTTTTTCTATTATAGATAGAAACCTGAATCTTTCACTGAATTTTATCTTTTTCAAAGGGCTACAATTCCTGAAAATTTCAGCTCATTTGCACTTGTAGTTCCTGAGATAAAATGGTGTTAAGCAATTTGGGGTGATTTATCGATTTTTCAATTTTTCTGAGTACCTTTTTTCATAGATTTCGGCTTCAAATCTGAGAATAATTTTGTGTATGGAGTTTGGGGTATGTTGATTGACCATTAGGATACAAAATCTCGACAAAAAAAAAATTGAAATTTCATCTTTTTAGTAAGAAGGTACCCCCCTTATGATTTTTTTGGAAAACTTTGAAAAGTCATAACTTTTTTTCTATTATAGATAGAAACCTGAATCTTTCACTGAATTTTATCTTTTTCAAAGGGCTACAATTCCTGAAAATTTCAGCTCATTTGCACTTGTAGTTCCTGAGATAAAATGGTGTTAAGCAATTTGGGGTGATTTATCGATTTTTCAATTTTTCTGAGTGCCTTTTTTCATAGATTTCGGCTTCAAATCTGAAAATAATTTAGTGTATGGAGTTTGGGGTATGTTGATTGACCATTAGGATACAAAATCTCGCCAAAAAAAAAATTGAAATTTCATCGTTTTAGTAAGAAGGTACCCCCCTTATGATTTTTTTGGAAAACTTTGAAAAGTCATAACTTTTTTTCTATTATAGATAGAAACCTGAATCTTTCACTGAATTTTATCTTTTTCAAAGGGCTACAATTCCTGAAAATTTCAGCTCATTTGCACTTGTAGTTCCTGAGATAAAATGGTGTTAAGCAATTTGGGGTGATTTATCGATTTTTCAATTTTTCTGAGTACCTTTTTTCATAGATTTCGGCTTCAAATCTGAGAATAATTTTGTGTATGGAGTTTGGGGTATGTTGATTGACCATTAGGATACAAAATCTCGACAAAAAAAAAATTGAAATTTCATCTTTTTAGTAAGAAGGTACCCCCCTTATGATTTTTTTGGAAAACTTTGAAAAGTCATAACTTTTTTTCTATTATAGATAGAAACCTGAATCTTTCACTGAATTTTATCTTTTTCAAAGGGCTACAATTCCTGGAAATTTCAGCTCATTTGCACTTGTAGTTCCTGAGATAAAATCGTGCTAAGCAATTTGGGGTGATTTATCGATTTTTCAATTTTTCTGAGTGCCTTTTTTCATAGATTTCGGCTTCAAATCTGAGAATAATTTTGTGTATGGAGTTTGGGGTATGTTGATTGACCATTAGGATACAAAATCTCGACAAAAAAAAAATTGAAATTTCATCGTTTTAGTAAGAAGGTACCCCCCTTATGATTTTTTTGGAAAACTTTGAAAAGTCATAACTTTTTTTCTATTATAGATAGAAACCTGAATCTTTCACTGAATTTTATCTTTTTCAAAGGGCTACAATTCCTGAAAATTTCAGCTCATTTGCACTTGTAGTTCCTGAGATAAAATGGTGTTAAGCAATTTGGGGTGATTTATCGATTTTTCAATTTTTCTGAGTACCTTTTTTCATAGATTTCGGCTTCAAATCTGAGAATAATTTTGTGTATGGAGTTTGGGGTATGTTGATTGACCATTAGGATACAAAATCTCGCCAAAAAAAAAATTGAAATTTCATCGTTTTAGTAAGAAGGTACCCCCCTTATGATTTTTTTGGAAAACTTTGAAAAGTCATAACTTTTTTTCTATTATAGATAGAAACCTGAATCTTTCACTGAATTTTATCTTTTTCAAAGGGCTACAATTCCTGGAAATTTCAGCTCATTTGCACTTGTAGTTCCTGAGATAAAATCGTGCTAAGCAATTTGGGGTGATTTATCGATTTTTCAATTTTTCTGAGTGCCTTTTTTCATAGATTTCGGCTTCAAATCTGAGAATAATTTTGTGTATGGAGTTTGGGGTATGTTGATTGACCATTAGGATACAAAATCTCGACAAAAAAAAAATTGAAATTTCATCTTTTTAGTAAGAAGGTACCCCCCTTATGATTTTTTTGGAAAACTTTGAAAAGTCATAACTTTTTTTCTATTATAGATAGAAACCTGAATCTTTCACTGAATTTTATCTTTTTCAAAGGGCTACAATTCCTGAAAATTTCAGCTCATTTGCACTTGTAGTTCCTGAGATAAAATGGTGTTAAGCAATTTGGGGTGATTTATCGATTTTTCAATTTTTCTGAGTACCTTTTTTCATAGATTTCGGCTTCAAATCTGAGAATAATTTTGTGTATGGAGTTTGGGGTATGTT